CCAAAGAAGAATAACTCTGCCACCTTCTGCCAGGCCAGCCTAATCCTAAACTGTGCCTGGAGTTCTGTCCCATCTAAAAACTGTCCGTTGGGAATACAGGCAGCTGCAGCAAGATCATCCAGGCACCCTTGAGAAAGAAAGCCCGAGAACCAGAGAGAGAGCCTGCGAGAGCCAATGCCCACTGCAGAGCGTGAGAAGTTCCTTTAATTTCAAATCTTCTTGCCCATAATTCCATGCCCTCTGGCTCTAGAGGCATTCTGCTGTCAGCCAATCCCATCTTAGACTGTCACCACTGCCTTGGGCAACCTCCCCCTATGGCCCCTCCCCACTCCTTCCTAGTGATCTGATCAGATCTCTCTGTATCAAGTGTGTATTGGGGCATCTAGGGTGACTAGACCCCAAAGTGACCTGCTTGGGCAGAAATGCCCATTCCTCACAGAGCAGAATATCATTGTACATTAGGGGACCACATGGCCTGAGACCAGGATTTCTGTGGCATATAATGCCACATTATAGGTACATAAAGCACCTCACCAACGATTGTTAATTAGTTTTCCATCAAAATCTGATGGGAGCCAAAATCTGGGAGTAAAAGTAATATTTTCTTATTTTACATACGTTAAAATTCATACTTAATGTACGTTTCACATGGAAATTTGATTTTGATAAGCAGAATAATGGCCTCTCAAAAATATCCACGTCCTAATCCCCAGATACGCAGATATGTTCATTTATATGGCAAAGAGACTTTGCAGATGTGTTTAAGGACCTCAAGATGAGAATTATTTGGGTGAGACCAACATAATCAAAAGGATTTTTAAAAGTGGGGGAGGGAAGTGCCAGGGGAGATCAGCAACCTCACATTGCTGGCTTTGAAGATGGAGGAGGGGATCACGAGCCCAGAAATAGGCACCTCTTGAAGCTAGGAAAGGCAAAGGAACAGATTCTCCCCTAGAATCTCCAAAATCAACAGAGCCCTTGAAACCGGAAAAGACACCAGAGTTCAGGCTGCCTGTCACTACCAAACCCAATAAGCAGTGACAGCGACTGAATCTTTATGGATGCTTTATTCAGATGGCCTGCGATCTGAGGAGATGGCGGGTTCATACCCTAATAGACCAATTTAAATTCCATTTTAAAATGGCCCTTTTTATAAGGAGAACAAAATGTAAATAAGGGGTTTGGAATTCCTGGAAAAGTTAATTGGATTAAAAAAACACAACTTTAGCATTTTCACCCTGGGCAGTGGTCTTTAGCTGTGTCCTGGGTGGTGGTCAACTCACCCTGGAGGACAATGGCTCAGATATCATCTTGAATTGCTTGCATTTCTCTGGAGGAACAAAGGTGGAACTGCTTATGGTCTCCTGGAGTCAGGCTGGGTCATACCTTCAGTTCCTGGAACAGAAGCTTTTACAAGCCTTGATTACTAAGCTTATTAGCTATTACTTAAACTAAAATTTTCCAACCCTTAAGTCTCCTATCACCCTGCCGTCTTGATTTTAGTCCTCTGTGCATGTGTCAGACCTCTAAACTATGGGATCATAAAATAGTAAATTTTTGTGTCACTGTTAGCCACTAAGTTAGTGGTACTGTTATAGCAGCAATAGAAAACTAATACATGGTTATGGAGCCTATCCACATCCCCCTCTTTTTCCCCTTGTCTCTGCTTACTAGGGATGAAAAAAGGGGGGTTCTGTTACAGAACAGACCCAATTGGGGTGTACTATATACTATTACTGAAAGGGCCTCCCACTAGGTTCTCTATGCCCACCTCCAGAGGGAAGACATCTCTCAATGTCAGAGGTTTGTGAAAAGGAAAGGAAATATTTAAAGCTATACAGACTTAGAATAGTGACTTAATGTCTTCATTAAAATATTAAAATCCTTTAGGATACCCACAGACACACACAGTCCTTCCTTCTCCCTCTGCCCTAGTATGGGGTACCATATCTCAGGAGGAGAAGTAGAAGTCTGTGATGTGGGCTCTTGGCACCATCAGCTGTGTCACCTCCAGGATCTTCAGTTAATCCAAAGCCGTGTGGCGCCTTCTCATGGCCCACCAGCAAGAGTTCTTTCACCCCTTTTCTCCCAAGCAAAGTCTCTCCTGCTTCCTAAGCCACGTGGTTCTCACTCTTGCCAAAGCTGTGGGGTCCCCACTCTGCCAAAGCCGAGTGGTTCTCTCCTCCGAGTAGCTGCTGAGTCTGGGTTTTAAATCCCCATGTCAATCTTCCTCTGCACCCACATTTCCAACTCCTACAATCAGTTATACCTGCAAGCATTCCTGTATTCTTCTAGCTTTACTGGGCTGCCATCATAAGTCTGGACAGGTATGGCCCCATGGCATGGAGCCAATCATCTCCAAGCTCTCATGCAGGCAATGTAACCAGTGGGGGCTGCTTCCCAGTTACATCTTGGGTGGAAGTCACTTCCATCTCCCTGGCTCATATCTATGAAACCAGTTAAAGGTTATAGATATGTTAAATGGCCGTGCCAGAGGTTAGCTGCAAAGCTGTTGCTGTACAAAATAGCTCTGCGTGTTCCTGTGCCATGTGTCCCTTCTCTCAACTCAAACCTGTAGGGGGGAGGACATCCTATATATTTTTCTAATATTTCCTAGACACCTTGAGTTCTGGACCCCATTCCAAATCCCTATTTGCCCGCCTCCTTGGCTGAACCCTGTTTCAGTTCTATGGAAAGTAACCTCAGTGTCCCAGGTTCGATTCCCAGCCAGGGTACATTCCTGGGTTGCAGGCCATAATCCCCAGCAACCGCACATTGATGTTTCTCTCACATTGATGTTTCTCTCCCTCTCCCTCTCTCTCTCTCTCTCTCTCCCTCCCTCCCTCCCTTCCCTCTCTAAAAATAAATAAATAAAATCTTAAGAAAGTAACCTCACACAGTGATCTGATCATAAATTCCTAGCTGGGCAGGGTATGGTGGGTAGTCACACCCCAGACCATAAAACTTCATTAGTAAAAGGTTTATCTTTGCCTTAAGTAAGCCTTGTACATTGTTTCTGTGCATCTAGGTTAAATACACTTTTGAAATAAACCACCCTCAAGAGAGCACATAATCTTGTTAACTAACCTGCAACCCCATTCCCGCCTTTCTTTTTCCCACCGTCAGGATCTTCCTTGTGCGGCATGAACCCCATTTTTCCAGCAATATCTACCACGACTCAGTCCTTTCTTGGGAAGTTATACATTCCCCACCTCACTGGCATTGCACCAAACCCAGGACAAGGTGAGAGGGCTTATGAGATGACTCATGAGAAAAAAAGTGCCAAATAAGGCAAATGGCTGCTTTTGTCCAGAGGGTAACCAAGGGTGATGGGTGTTAAGTCTCCTATGACCACAGATCTACTAGTGTAATGACACTACCACACCTTAGGGGAAATTTGGCTAGGATAGTGGACAGACTCTGAGTTCAGAAGTGGAGAGTTCAGAAGTGGAGAGTTCAGAAGTGGAGATTGTTGTAACCCCCCAGGCCAGTCTCAGATCAGCTACGGAGGTCAGATCCTAACGACTTTAAACAAAACCATCCAGGGCAATAGGAGATGTGAGTTTGCTGTCACGCAGTTTTCCTTGGGAGGAGTCGTGAGAGGGGTGGGCATGATAGGCATCTTCTGGCTGGGTGATTGATTGGAGATGGCTAAGGAATTAAGATTGTTTTGGTGTGTTTTCTTTCTTTCTTTTTAAGATTTTTATTTATTTTTAGAGAGAGGGGAAGGGAGGGAGAAAGAGAGGGAGAGAAGCATCAATGTGTGGCTGCCTCTAGCACACCCCCTACTGGGGACCTAGCCTGCAACTCAGACATGTGCCCTAACTGGGAATCAAACCAGTGACCTTTTGGTTCACAGGCCAGTACTCAATCCACTGAGCCACACCAGCCAGGGCCTCTTTTGGTATGTTTTCTTAGGATAAAAGATAGCTGAGAATCTTCTCTAAGTAGGATTACACAAAACAGGACATTTGAATTTCAGATAAATAATAACTGTTTTAGTAGAAGTATATCCCAAATATTGCACTCATATAAGGCTTCTTCTCCCTTTGAGAGCAAGTAGATAGGTCAGGGAAGGATGCAGGAAGCTGAAGGGATTCTCCTTTTCTCTGAAATTGGGTCAGATGCTAAGAGTGAGTTTTGAGGGTAGAGCTACAACTTGCCATAGCTGTTGAAGGCGATAGATAAGGAGGTGACCAGGGGGCTGCCTGGATATAGAGACTAGTAGTGAGGCTTCCAATAGCGGTGAGAACTCCAGCTTTGGAACCACCCTGCCCAGGTCTGCGTCTCTTCCTAACTTTGTGATCTTGGACAATTTACCTATCCTTTCTGCTCTTCAACTTCCTCATTTGTAAAATGGGGTCCCTAATTGAAACTTACTTGTGGCGTTGTTGTGCAGATTAGGTAAGGTGATGCAGGTGAAGTACAGACAACAGTACTTCACACGGAGTAGGTGCTCACTGCTATTCAACTGCAGTGGCACATATCTTTGTGGCTGTGTGCTTTTTTCAAGAAACTTTCTGAAGGAGAGAAAGTAGATAGCTGAATTGCTTTCTTTGTGTTTCTAGTTGGAAAACTAAGTTAATTTTTAGAAACATTAGGCCCTGGCTGGTGTGGCTCAGTGATTGAGTGCTGGCCTGTGAATCAAAGGGTCACCAGTTAAATTCCCAGCCAGGGCACATGCCTGGGTTGTGGACCAGGTCTCCAGTGAGGGGTGCACAAGAGGCAACCACACATTGATGTTTCCCTGTCTTTCTCTCTCCCTTTTGCTCTCTAAAAAAAAGAAAAATTTTTTAAAAATTAAAAAAAGAAACATTAGCCGAATTTTAATTAACACAAAATTGAAATAATCTTATTATAACAGTAATATATTTTTATTGTAGAAATTTTTGTTTTTTAATAGGCCCTGCCTCAGGTTTATTTGCACAAACACCACAGGAGGACCCCAGCCTGGGGCACACCAGTCCTTCTGTCCTCATGTCGGCAGACAGAGGCCTCTATTATGGAGCCTTCACAGAGGCCTGGCTACCTTTGGGAGCCTGAGACTGAGCCTGAGCCGTGGCTGCATCTGCATCCTGGGGCTCAGTTTGGGCCTTGGCCTTGGCCTTGGCCTTGGCCTTGGCCTTTGGCCGTCAGAGCTGGAGACTCTTGGAGATGGGGCCAAAGCACATATCCCAGGCTTGGGGTGAGCAATGTAAGCAAGTCGACTGAGCTTGCGGCCACTGCCCTTTGGGATCTTGGGCATGACCTCCTTGGACTTGACCAGGGCCTTGATAGCCTCAGCATGTGCACTAATGGCCTTGGTGTTGTTGGCCTGCATCTTCTTCAGGCCCTTCTTGTTGTGCTTCTTGGCAAAGCACATGTTCCTCAGGAACTTGGGGTCTACCCCTGTGAGAGACTCATATCTTTTCAACCTGGGTTTCTTGATGCCATTTCTGTGCCACTTTTGGAACTGGTTGTGTGTGGTGTGGTTCTTGGACTTGGCCATCTCTGCACCCAAGCCCGAGGCTCTCGAAGCGCCTGAGACCAGAAGCTCATTGTAGAAATTTTTGAAAATATAAAGCAACACAAAGAAAATTAAAACCACCTATAATTTCATCTTCGAAGAATGAATAATGTTAATGTTAGTTATTTTCATATATCTGTATAAAAATATTTATTTAATAGCATTGTACAGTACTCACTTTTAAGACCATGCTTATTGATTTGAGAGAGAGAAACATCAATCTGCTGCCCACCAGGCCATGCATTCAGTGGTTGACCCCTGTATGTGCCCCAACTGGGGACTGAACCCACAATACTGTTACATCAGGACAACACTCCAACCAACAGAGCAACCTGCCCAGGGCACATACTTGTTAAGGTGGTTGGAGAACTGGCTGTGAAAGAGTTCACAAAGAGGAGAAAGTGTAGAGAGTAAAGTTTTTATTCACTCTCCGAGAAACCAGAGGGGCTTGATATGGAGAGATATACCAGCCTTGAGAAGTGGGGGCTTTGTGTTTTTATTGGATTATAATTGGATTAAAAAGGGTGGAGAGTGCTGTTGTATCGCCCCTGGGCTGCTGGGGCATTGTAACAGTTTGTTCCAAAGTTATCTTCTGCTTGTGGCTGTAGGAGCAGTTAGTTCTGTTATTGCTTTCCAGTAATTTCCAGTCCTGAGGACTTGAGGTCAGAAGAGTAAAATGGTAGTCATATTTAAGAAGGTCATAGGCCTGCTCAGCAAGTGGTGCCATGATAGCAAATGGTGCCGACTTTATCGCTGACTTCAACCTTTTGATGGGGAACCCAAATGTTGGAAAATTTTTTGTTTCAAGTGATAGCTAATACGTTTAGTAATCAATGTATGTAAAAAGCTATTGTTCCAGGAACTGAAGGAATGACCCGCCCTGACTCCAGGAGACCATAAACAGTTCTACCTTTGTTCCTCAGGAGGACTGCAAACAGCGAGATGGTATCCAGGCGTTGCGCTCCAGGGTGAGACATCCATCGCCCAGGACACAGATAAAGACCAGCAGCCAGGGCACAGATGGAAGAATGATGCAGCTTTTATCTGATTAACTTTTCCCCTGAATTCCAAACCCCTAACCTACACTTTTCTTCTTATAAAAAGGATCGGTTTAAAATGGAACTTCAGACAATCTGTTAGGGTACAAACCTGCTGTCTTCTCAAATCACCTGAATGAAATGCCCATGAAGATTCAAGCCCTGGCTGGGGTAGCTCAGTGGATTGAGCGCGGGCTGGGAACCAAAGTGTCCCAGGTTCGATTCCCAGCCAGGGTACATTCCTGGGTTGCAGGCCATAACCCCCCAGCAACCGCACATTGATGTTTCTCTCTCTCTCTCTCTCTCTCTCTCTCTCTCCCCCTGCCTTCCCTCTCTAAAAATAAATAAATAAATAATCTTTAAAAAAAAAGAAACTGAAAGTCTTAAAAAGAGATTTTATAAAAAAAAAAAGATTCAATCCCTGTCTCTGCTTTTTGGGTCTGCTAGGTGACAGGCAGCACGAATGCTGGCTGTTCCGGTTTCACTTTTGGTACTCATTTTTTTACTTCACAATATATCCTAAAAGTTCTCTCAGTCACTCACTGGTCTTCTACAGCATATCTCAATGGCTGCATATTATACTGATACACTGAATTTTTTAAAAAATCAACCTCCTTTGTAAAATAGGTTGTTTGGAATTTTAAAACACAAATTAACTGCACAATGTTTCTTGGTAACCCACATTTGCTAAAACTCCATATGAAATTTTTTTAATTTCAAGAGCAACATTTTGAAAAATAGGATAAGATAATCTTATTGTACTGACACGACTAATTTTAATTCACTCTCTCAATAAAGCTCTGTGTGTGTGTGTGTGTGTGTGTGCGCGCGTAGGCTAGTTCTAGTTGCTGATGTAGTTGAATTGTGTTACCTGTATACCTCTTGGAGAACCTTAAGTCACTTTGGCCTGAGGCATTAATATTTAACAAACCTGAGATTGATGGATTGATGATAGCAAAATTAATTCAATCCACCTGGGTTTCTATCTGTTGCTAGAACAGCAAGGCTCTCCTACAAGCCAGAAAGCAAGGGCTTCTGCAAGAAGCAACTGAAAGCAGTTGTGTCCTCCACAATCTGGAGCTGGGAACTGGCTTCTCCACTGGCTTTCTTTCACCTTTGTTCTCAAATGCCTCCTAATGGGCTTCTGAAGGGTCAGGTTGCCTCTATCCCTCTTCTCTCTTTCTTTTTGTTTATGTGTTTATTTACTTATTTATTTTTATCCCTCTTCTTTAACTAAAATCTTGACTCTCAGTTAGTAAATAGAAAGTCTGACAGAGAAATACTTGTTTGGGCTAGGCAATACTGTAGTTTGGAAACTCTGGTCTTAGATAAGGTGTTCAGCTCATGTCGTAGAGAATTAATCCATCAGATGTTGGTGTTGATTAAATGTTCCACTGAATCAACTAAATCAGTCTGTGTCATTTCCCAGTGACCTTGGGCTGCTGTTCCTCTCACCTCTTCACCTTTGGCTTCTTTTAAGAAGGGCGTCCTGACAGCATTCTGGCTATAATCTGCAGCTATCTTTTAGATATAAGAAAGATCAAGTCTGGGATATGGGACAACACCTTAACTGACATAAACCACATGGTTTTTATTTTTTTGTTGCAAGAGGGGTTGGAGAAAGAGAGGGAGGAAAGCATTGATGTGCAAAAGATACATTGATCAACTGCCTCTCACAATCCTCCAAGTGGCCCGCAATCCAGGCATGTGCCCTGACTGGGAATCAAACTGTCAACCTGGTGGTATGCAGGCCGGCACTCAATCCACTGAGCCACACCAGACAGGGCAGCCACATGGTTTTTTGTTTGTTTGTTTGTTTTTTGTCTTTGTGAAGATGGTTCAGAACACAGACATCTCTCTAATCACGGCAGGTAAATCCTTAAGTAAAATCAATTCCCCAACCTGAAAAACAGCCACTTGCAGACAATTAAATTTACTTCAATCAGCTCAGGTCATACTTTTTGATGGATCCTTTTCATGTATGTTATATTATTTAAACATTAGAGAATGAAGTATTGCTATAATTGATAGAAATTAACCCACTCAGTCACAGGTCACTCACTGTCCATCCCCTTACAGCCTCCTTGCTGGATGAACTCCTCCTTTCTCTGAACTCTCTGCTCTGCTCTCTTTTAACTCCCCTTCAGCCAAACTTGCTCCTTGCTGTTCCTCATCAAGGCCACTTACCACCTCAGGGCATTTGCACTTGCTGTTCCTTCTATCCCAGAAATCCATGTAACTCACTCCCTCATGTTGTTAGAGTCTTGTCTCAATTATTACCATTACAATGTGGCCTTGTCAAGAAAGATGTTCTTGACTCTATTTAACATTGTACCTGTAACCCCATATTCCCTATCCTACTTTCCATCTTTGTTTTTTTCCATAGCACTTAATAACATTTAAGATGACATGTACATGCTTATTCATTTTGTTTCTTGGTGGTTTCTCCCCACTAGAATATGAATTCCATGAGAGTAGGAACTTTGTTTTGCTCATTTCTCTATCCCCAGTGCCTAGGACAGAGTAGGCTCAACAAATATTTTTTTGAATAAATGAGCACTCAGTGACCTATGAAAGGTCACTCAGCCAGTAAATGGTAGGGGTGTCAATTAAAAAATTGGGTCTCCTGGTTTGAAACTTGGTTCTCTTTTCTGAACTGCATGCTGTCTCTGGAAAGAAAAAAAAGATTTTTTTTTCAAAAGCTAACATAGAAAAATGTTTATGGAAGGGAATGTGAAAACCTGGCCAATAATCCTTTCACAATATTTGATATTTCTGGTCCTTAACTAAAATATCATTAAGTCAATTGAAAATCTGCATTGAAAGAAAGATTTGGAGAGCTCAAAGAAGGCACAATTACTGAATAGGTGTTAAATTAGTATTTGAGTAAAGATGAAGAGTTGGGCCATCGAATTGGTAAGAGGGAAAGCTAAGGGGTCATAAATGACTTCAAGCATTTGGAAGGTTAAAATGAGATTCCTAACCAATTCTTTGTCATCTCTACCATGGATGCAACTAGATGGGAGCCTTTGTTAGACATAAGAAAGATGTTATTGACTCTAAAATGTCTGAACTTGTAAGGGTGTAAAGCCTACATTATGGAGAAGTATAAAAATAAATATTTAATGTTGGCTAACTCATTCATTCATTCATTCATTCATTCATTCAACACACATTCTTAGTCCATGCTTTAATGTGTACTATTGAGGGTCCCTGAACTGCTATCTTTGGGTATATAACAGTAAATAAGACCCACAGAGTCTGTTGTCATGAGTCTAGAAAATGCTTAAGATACTCTCTTGGGACCCATCTAGTGCTAGATTTCTTGAGATCTCTAACAGTTCTTTTTTTTCTCTTTATTTTTTTAAAATACTTTATTTATTTACTTTTAGAGAGAGGGGAAGGGAAGGAGAAAGAAAGAGAGGGAAACATCAATATGTGGTTGCCTCTTGCACACCTTCTACTGGGGACATGGCCCAAAACTGAGGCACATGCCCTAACTGGGAATTGAACCTGCCACCCTTGGTTCCCAGGCTGGCACTCAATCTACTGAGCCACACCAGCTAGGCCAAGATGTATATATTTCCTTCCTCTTTGCTTTTATCCCCTAACCTCCCACCACTTGCTCTAAGCCAGTTGCTTGCCTTTTTCACTTTATAATATATTATGAATCTTTCCTTAGCAGTATAAACAACTATTCCTTTTTAAAAGCTGCATGTATAGTGGACCATAATTTATTTCACTAGTCTCCCTCTGATGAATACTTGCATCTATTTTTTTGTTAATAAAAAGAATATCGCAATGAATATTCTTAAAGACACATCATTTTTCACATATGTATATATCATATAAGATAAATTTCTAGTTATATTGTTGGGTTAAGTGATATATACATATGTCAAAGTTTATTGTGGTGAAAGACATAAAATTTACTATCATTACTATTTTTATGTGTAC